AAATTAGTGCTTAAGGGTAATTTCATGTCAAAACAACAAGTCGAAATAACCCACCATCTCAGAAATACTTGATTTTTGGCACAAATGCAGTTAATAATGTCGTTAGTAATAATCATAAATAATTTGGAGTCAATTTCATTATTTTAAGAGTTATGGGTCTTTGAAGTTTAAGAATTTTAAAATTTTTTTATTCTCCGCTCTCTGAATAAAGAAATCAAAAATCATTACTTAAAGTTATTAGATCTTATATTTGATTAAAAACTTTGCAATGCAAACCGGGTTTTTAACAATAATCTTTTAGTAAACATGTCTAGTTTAAGATTAATTGCAGAAAATTGATCTATTCACTTTAAGTCTTTACAAAAATAGTTTATATATAAATGCCTATAAGAGGCAAAAATTATTTCATTGTTTTTTGATGCACATATCTATTTTATTATTGTTTTATTTTTGCAATTTTATTTTTGCATTTTTATTTACCGTTTTGGTTATAATCTCCATTTAAAGATTATAACTAAAATAATTTCTCACAAAAAAATAATGATTTCTCACATAAGTGTTATACTTAAATGTTAGAACCAGTTGCTCCGTTTAATTAATTAAACAAGAAACCCAGAAATTCATTTTTATTTTAAACTAAATAAGCCTAATCATATGATTACACTTATTTAGTTTAAAATAAAAATGAATTTCTGATTTCTTTTTGTATTAATTAAATGGATCAATTGATTCTAACATTTGAATTTTGATTATAATACTCATGCGAGAATTTATTATTTATTTAATAATAGTTTTAGAAAAATAAAATATGAAAATTAAATATTTTTATAATGGCTGGAACATCTTAATGCTCAGTTGGATTGATTTTAAAATCAAATTGTCACAAGTTAACATTTACAAACCACATTGGAATAAACTTTTTTCAAGAATTAGCTCCAGATGAGCAAAATTTAGTTGCGCTAAGGTCTGGTGTTTCTTCTGTTTTGATTATTGACTTATGTTTTCATCATCAAAAGTTCTATCTTGAGAAGTTCCCTGTGTTTCAGAATAAATGATGTGATCCACTGTTAGTTCACAAAAGACTGTGCAAAGGTTAGTAAAGCTTGTCATAAATTTTATAATAGTAAATTTGTCATAATTTTAAGTTCTTTATTTTTGTTAATAGTAGGCACATTTTACTTTATTAAGTTATATTTTTTAATTTAGCATCTCTCAGAGAAGTCACGTTAAGAACCATAGCTTTAAACAACAGGATCAATATTGTACCTGGTAAAAAAATTTGTACAAATTGCTTAGTCGAATTAAAAGCTTCCACTGAAATTAATACTGATAACATTAATATTGCTGATGATTACACAAATGAAAGTATAGATAAAGAAAACATATTTAGTGTTCAACAAGAAGCTGATATAAATAAAAATAGACAAGAACTTTCTGATTGTCTCAGTATAATTGGTGTGTCACCAGTCAAGCTTCACCGAAAGCCATTTGCAAATCGTATGAGTATTGGGAAAAAAAAAATTTAAACTATTGCAAAGGTTTTCAAAGAAAAGTTATCAAGTTCTTTAAAAATTCCATTGACAGAAGTTGAAGTTTTTTGATAATGGGTATGTTCTTGATTTAAAAAAAAAGTTGTTCAGTTCGAAAAAATGTTAGTTTTGATCAAAGATAAACTTGAAAAATGCAGTTTATTAAGGGACAAAATTCAAGTATTGACTTTGTGCCCACAAGAATGGTCAATTGAAGCAGCTAGTGAGTATTTTAGTGTTTCAAATTATCTAATAATAAAATCTAGATCTTTAGCAAAGAAGGAAGGAGTTCTTGCAGTTCCACAAACTAAGCGAGGTAAAATGCTCCCTGATCAAATAAATACTTTAGTGAAAATTTTTTATGAAAATGATGAAAACTCTCGCCAGATTCCTGGTCAAAAGGATTTTGTAAGTGTTAGTTGGAAAGTCCAAATGCAAAAGCGATTACTTTTCTCAAGCTTAAAAAAGTTATTTGTCTCATTTAAAATTCTATATCCACATGTAAAGTTAGGTTTTTCCAAGTTTTGTATTCTAAGACCTAAATGGTGTGTTTTGCCAAACTCATCAGGAACCCATTCTGTGTGCGTTTGTATCTACCATCAAAACATGAAGTTAATTCTCCTACCCATTAAAATTGAATACCACGAACTATATAAATTTATTGTTTGTGATATGCAAAACAAAGAACGCATGTTACATCGATGCACACAATGTCCGAAAAATACATCTAAATTAGAAGAAAAGCTATTCAAACTAATAGGGCAGTTTGAGGAAGAAGATACTATCGAATTTAACTAATGTGTTACTACTGATAGATCAGATTTAGTTATACAGCTTGTAACCATACCAGATTATGTAAATATGGTGATGGAAAAACTAGTCAAGCTAACAACGCATTCATATATTTCTAAATGCCAATCTAAATATTTAAAAAATCTTAAAGAAGAACTGCCATCAGGTAGCGCAATAATTATAGGAGATTTTGCAGAAAACTATAATTTTGTTGTGCATGATGAAGTACAAGGTTTCCATTGGAATAATCTTCAATGCACACTTCATCCAGTGGTTGTGTACTATAAAGAAAATCAAATTTTGTATTCCACTTCATATTGCATTATATCAGATGATAACACTCATGATGTACCAATGGTTTACGAGGTACAAAAATCAATTATCAATAATCTGAAGCAAAAAATACCCAGCATTGTAAACATGGTCTACTTTTCTGATGGCTGTTCATCTCAATATAAAAACTGCAAAAAAATATTTAACCTATGTCAGCATAAATCAGACTTTGGAATAGATGCAAAATGGGATTTCTTTGCAACCAGCCATGGAAAGCAACCTTGTGACGGTATAGGAGGAACATTTAAACGGCTTGTAGCTAATGCTAGTTTGCAGAGAATTTCTACAAATCAAATGTTAAACTCACGTGATATGTTTACATGTTACACTAACAACATCAAAGTTATAAACTTTATTTTTATTTCAAGTGAAAGTTTGATAGAAACAAGATTATTACAATCTGAACGATTTGCAAAGATTATTACAATCTGAACGATGTAAAAACAATACCAGGAACAAGAGACTTTCATGAATTTATTCCTGTATGTCATAATGAAGTTAAGATAAAATACTGCAGTGATATCCCTATCTTGACCTACAAGTTTAAAAATTGCGAAATGCAAAGTGATGTGCAAAGTTGACATGGAATTATAATTTATGCACCAACATGGCCTTGAATCTTAAAGACATTTTCTTGCTTCCTTTTATCAATTATTACTTCGAATCGACAGTTTACTTATGTCTATGATATGTATATGACAATATTTTGCATTTATTAAAAAATATTACCTAATTTTGTTTTGTTTTACAGTCCAAAGAAAAACAAAGGAATATTTGAAGTTCAATAATTTGTATAGAAATTTATCAATTCATAAAAGCACAAACAATTCAAAGAGTTAATGTGTTTTGATATTTAAAATAGAGTTTATTTATGGACATGTCATGGATATTACAGTTTTATACCTAAGTGAAAATACCTCTTATTTTTTGACTTGCTTTGAGTAAAAACACCTGTTTTTAGTATTTAAATATTTTTAATTGAGTTTATTAAATATGCATATTGTAGTTTTACACGTAAGTAAGAATTCTTACTTTCTGGTTGTGCCTAAACATAAGTACCAATCAATCTTCTGTCTCAATCTCAATATACTTTCAATCAAAAATAAAAATTAAATTGTTTAGATTAGTAAGTCAAAAAACAGCTCAGTTTTTTTTTTTTATTTTTTAGATGTTTATATATACTTTAAGATTATGAAGTTTGGAAATATATAGATCATAACCTTTTCTGTAATTCTTTTTATAGTAAGCATGTTTACTTTTCAATTTTATTAAAAACGCTGATTTACTCTTATTGACTTATTAATAAATAAATGAAAATATTATTTCTTGGTATAATTTTATAGTTTAGCATCTAATAATATGTGGAAAATTTCAAATTATAAAACAATATAGTTAAGGTAACAACGTATGTATTAGCATTTACTTGTTACTAAGGACGTTGCTAGGGGAGCATCGTGAGTAAAAATGTTACTAAGTTTTAAATTTTAAACGAGCATAACTTCTAAAATATTCCGATTTGTTTAAAACAACTTTGGGGAATTCTTTTTAGCCTAGTTAAGTATCTTTGTTGCAAAAATCAAGTCATTTAGAGATAGTGGGTTATTTTTTTGAATTTTTGTTGTTGTTCTGACACGAAATTACCCTTAAGTGTTTCGTTTTGCCCCTCGTTACCCTACAATCTACACAGAATAGTTGTTTAATTAATTCTTCATTTATTTACCCATCAACTTGCGTATTCCTTTTTCAATTAAATAAAGTTTTTTAAAAAACTTTAAATAAATAAAAAAAACATACTTGATTTTAAATATTTATAACAAAAATATACTTGATTTTTCATATTTAAATACACTCAAAATTTCCAACAATTAAAAAAAATAAATTTGCCCCATCTAATCGCTGAACAAATATTTATTCGTAAAAGAATAAACGAGAACAAATATTTTCGTTTAAGAAATATTCTTTAAACATTTATTTGGTGAACGAGTGTTATTCATTTTGTAATTGTTCAACAATTAAAATGAAAACAAACAAATATTTGTATCTGTTTGACGAATATTCGTCAAACGGTTATTAGAAGTCTCTACGGGCTTCGATATGACCGTAAGAACTTCTTGAAGCTTCTACGCTCTAATCAAAGAGCTCGGTGACCACTGCGGAACTCTGACCACTGCGGGATTTATTACCAATAACTCTGAAGAGTGATTAATATATCATGGATTTGCTCCTGGAAAGTGACTAAAAATCATGGATCCGCCCCTGTGAATAAAAAGAATATTTAGCTTCAATTAATTTACCACGTTTACAACTAGATGTAACTTTGTTACAATTACCTCAAAAGTTACTTTAAAAGATAATCTTAGAGTTATGATATTAAAAATTTTTCCTCCTGTTAAATTGTTTTCTACAAATAAAAAAACTTGTTTACAAAAAAAATGTTTACATTTGTACAAAAACTTTTATATTTTAAAATGTTTCCTTTATAAAAAAAACTATATTCAAGAATATTCATCAATTTGAGCATATCTGTTGTATCTCTCTCATATCTGTTTTATCTCTCTCATATTTTTTTAAACTTCTGACTAATACATATTTTTTAATAATCATTTTTCTGACGATTTATTTTTCATCGGAGTTTTCAACCTCTCAAAATAGTCGTCTAATGTAAGAGGGTGATAGTTGAGCGCAATTTTTAAGTCTTCCACTACTTTTTTCCAATCAATAACTTCACGTAAATTTAACCCTTTTTTGGTTTTCCCTTTTTTTGGCTTCACATTATTGTCCACATTTTTTGTAGCCACTTCCTCAAAAACACTCATATTTTGGTATAAATCGCCTATGTTAGCGCGACAGCAACAAAAATAAGTTGAAAAGATAACCTGAACAATAAGTATAAATGTTGTTATCAAGTTCACAGGAATCGGTACCGTATTTGTTTTAGTCATTGCCCAAATATTTTTTCCTCGCGTATATCTCCATTCAATAGTTGATCTTTCTTCAAATCTTGAATATGTACTTCCCATCATCGCGACTAACAAGTTAATAAGTACAACAACAGCAATAATCTGATAAAGTAGATAGCTCACAGCATCAATTGCATAACTCTCTGTAGGACTTTGTAGTTTTTGATCTGATGTCAGTGGCACGGGGGATTGGCCCATTCCAAAGCAAGCATAAACTCTGTCTGAAAAAATGTCCATAATGCCCTTGTTAACGTTGTTAAAATCTAAAAAGGTCATTGGAAAATCAGTCAGAGATTGACTTTTGTTGTATACTGGTTTGTAGATAATAGCACCGTGCATTGTGAAAGCAACTATGCATAATGATAGTATGAACACAAACTTTAAAACGTCTACCACTAAACTTTTTATCATGACAGTCCACGGACCAAAAACTTCGTGCATTGCCAAAAACTCGAGAAAAAACTGAACAAAAAGCATAAGTAAGTTTAAACCTAATACATTATCTCTAGCATACATAACATTTTCTCTAACTCTATTTTCCATAAAGTAAGCTAAAATATTGAGCGAAAGTGCAGAAGCAGCAATCATGCATTGTACTACTTTGAAATAATTGATCTCAATATCAGTTATCGTATTTAAAAACATCGCACAGTGCCAAATCCAAAGCATCCATTCCCAAGGTGGAGGATAAAGCTAAAATAAAGATAAAACTCAATGATTGTATAAGTATTTTCTAACTAAAATAATATTGGTTCGAAAATTACATAAATTATTTTGATAAGAGTGAGAACAGTAATTACATAATTACACATAGTTGAAGTGTATAAACACTTAAAAATATTGAGAAAAATTTGACATTTTTAAGCTTTATTATAAACAATAAACTTTCCAACAATTATCTTGACATTCGCTATAGCAACCATTGGTTATTGATTCTAAATTATTATGTTTTGGAAACGATCACAATGGAACATAAAAACCAAAAATAAAAAAAAAACTCTAAAATCTGACATCAAGAATGAAATTACTTACACTAACAAATATTAAAAAAATATATATTAAAAGTTAAAACTAAAGTGTTTTAAAAACCATTCATAAAAATCTTCTAATACCTGGTGAGCACGGCACAGTGGGCCAAACAGTGGACATGGCTCAAAAATCAATATTACCAAAATAAATTTAAGTTAGTTGTTATTGAAAGCCAAATAAGTTTCCAGTTCATTAAGAAATTTGTAATAGGTATAAATGATACATAAAAGTCATTTTTGGCATTATATAAGAAAAAATGTCACTATAAAAGCAGTGCTAATGTAGTAATTGTATATAAACAATCTTAGACTGCAGTTTATAGAAATGTGAATGTTAACATCATAGATTATTGCACAAAATTTTTTTCTCCATGTTTTACCTTATAAAACAACTAAAATTTAGCAAAATTTTAGTGTTTTTAACTAATTTTTTATCAGAAAAAATAATTTATCTCAAAAAGTGCTAAGTTGGCACTAGTATACCCATACATTTTTAAACTCCTTAATGAAGAGGAATAAGATGCTTTTTAACTAAATTGTGCCGATTTGGCACTTTAAAAATTTTTTACTTTTCACGTAAACTTGTTTATTTTTTGAATTATATTATTTTGAAGTTTAAATTCTTTTGTTTAAATAGTTATTAGAAAAATCAACAAAAATATTTATATCTTAAGTTTAATAACAATGAAGCTTACTGAATTTGAATTATATTTCAATGCTGAGGAAAATAAACAACAGAAAACTATTTCTGCAAATATAATATGTTGTATACTGGTAATTGCTATGGCACTTGGCTCCGAAGAATTGATATTCGTACAAAAAACAATAGTTCAGGATAGCTAGCAAAGATCTGCATCTGAAGGAAAACCAACTTGAAAAAAATGGTCTATGCTGGCATATATTTCAAGGCTGGTAAGGAAACCTTGCTTGAAAAGTATATAAAAGAATGACTCTTTCAACAATGTCAATTTAAACAGTTTTTGCTCTTGGTAGGCATTCATATAAAAACTAAAAATTTTTTTTCCCTGGTTTTAATATATTGTCTAGTTAAAAACATCTCAGAAGAAAACAATCTGAAGTAACACAAATTATTATGAATTATCTTGAACTTTATTTTTATTTTTACTTCAGCCTATTTCAGGCTATTAAACTGACAATGCAAAGGATATTGGAGAACATTTTTTTAGATATAAACATTGAAAATTTACAAATGAAAATAAAATTTCGATTTGATGGTATTGGAAGCCATGCAAATAATTTAATTAAAAAGATAATGTTAATACTAAGACAATGATTTGTTCATTTTTACTTGAAACAGAAGCAGGTTTCTTAATGTGGTTGCAAAAGTTACAAAATACCCCACTGAGTCACAAAGTGGCGAGTCTTTGGGAAAAAAAAGAAGAGAAACCCTTCAATCATTGTCTGTCTAATTCTGACATAGAAGAGTTAAAAATTTCTTTATGTATAAAGAGGGAAAACAATTTAATGTAAATGTGATACTGCAGTCAAATATGATGGGTATGAAAACAGCGGGTCTTTTTTCAGAAGTTGGAGGTGCATATTGTGATCATGTGCAAATGCTCAAAAAATCAGTGTTTGAATATTGAAAGAATTGAAAATGGTTTTGAAATCAATCATGACACTATAACAATGAATAAAATATTTAACCAACTTGAACAGGAATACGTTTCTTTACTTAAAAAAAACCTATTATATCACAAGGGCCGGACAAACCATCAAACCAATTCTAATCTGTGATATAAAGCCAATACAAGTAAATTGGTATCTTGTAATAGTGTTCATATTATTCTATATTTTTAATATGTGAGTATAATAAATATTAAAAATTATTACATTTAGAAATTACCAATATTTTTATAGGTTCTTCATGCTTTATTGGGTATATTTGACCATTTCGTGAAAACTGTTGCACATGTGAAAGCTGGTGTTTTTGATTGGTCTGAGTCCCCTTTCAGTGCTTCAAATAGCTTTCTGAAGCAAGCAGAGACTTCATTACAAACAGAGATATTAAAAAAGCAGGTATAAAATGATTCTACTTTAATGAAATTGGAAAAAGAGGAACAACAACAACAGGTTACAAAGCTAGAGAACTATTGCACAAAAAATCAAACAGGAATTTAATTATTGCACAATTGCCTGTTTAATATCATGCAACATTTCAAAAGTTCGAATTGGTGCTCTCAGTAATTCATTGAATATTTTCCTCAAAAAGAAAAACTTATGTGGATCAATATAATTTAATTTGTATATTTCTATTGTACAGATTTTTATTTATTTCTATTTAACGAGTTTCCACCTATTACAAAAATAAATTTACCTTGATCATGTATCAGTATAACACCATCACGTCAAAAACTGATTAGTCATTCTTGGGCGCTAATTTTAAATAATGAGGAAAGTGGTTTGGGAAATCTTTATAATTCAGGGTTAAAAGGTAATAACAAAATATTAAGATTGATACATATTAGACTTTCAAGAAAATTTTTCACTTTCAAAAAACTCCTAAATTGTCAATTTAACATACACCATTAACTGAATGTGGATATCATCTAATCAAAATTTTTTTGACAAGAGATACAAGTCAAAATCATTTTGCAAATTTTGGTATGAATGAGGAGATTCTGATAAATATTCATATAAAAAAAATGTATATAATAACATTTTGTCTGAAGATGACACATAATTAAAATGTTAACATATGAATAAATTATGTATTTTAGTACTTCTTTTGATAATTTTTATTATTTTTGCCGTTGATGTACATATGTTATATTTGTATTACAAAATATACATACATATTTATAAATATTTATACGTATTTTTGTTATAACCTATAAAAAAGCAAATTTTATGAAATTTTTAATATTTTGTTTTTTTAAATTATGACCTATGACCTAAATATCCTGCAGCAAAATTATTTTTTAGTTTTACCAAAATTTGCACATAGAAACACAAAAAGTTTTTTTATACAGACTCATTTAAGTGAGTCTGTATAAAATCAATAATTACTTATAAAAAGTATATAAACTTGTACAAAAAAAATTCAAAAATTAAAGCGTCTTCTAAAATAAGTCGTTCATAATTATTTTAACCATTCACAATGGTTACCATTCATAATTAGTCGTTCATAATGGTTTCAAAAATTATGATTGAATAAGAGTTAAAACCTGGTGAAAAATTCTGCAGCTATATCGCTACGAGTTGTTGCTAACTAGTTGCTAGCTTATGTAGCCAGCAATCTTCATGCCTAAATCAATTAGCTTGTATCATTTTTTGCTAGTGATGATATCTTATTTTAATTTTTATCATTTTAATTGTTTAATCTAAAACATTGATGTTGATAACTACAAAGCTATGATATGTAGCTATCGAATAGATAAAGTCCTTATTTTACAGTTTTCTACAATGATTTAATTCTACAAGGGTTTAATCTATAATAAACTTATCTATTTAATTTTCTTTTTTAGGATTATTTAGTGTATCAATTATAACATTGTAATTAAATTTGTCATCAAAACTGACTCAGTCAAATAAAAAGATATTACATTTGGGGATCCATAATTTCGTCCGTAAATTACGCAACGCTAAATTTAAGTAAAAGACAAAACAAAAAAGATCTAAAGTTTTCCCTTGCAGATTCTTTAATTAAATCCGTATTAGCTTTTAATAAGCCCATAAAAACTCCCGCGCAAGAGAGCGAAATGATCTCCTACTTCTATTTTTTAAATAAGTTTTGGGTTGTGTAATTTATGGACGACCATATGTATCAAATAACAATCCTTACCTCAAGATAAGAGCGGTTCCAAGGTACAGCAACAACAAGAATTAATATAATGGTAAAGTAAAAGTGAGATATTAAATGACAAATAAACTTTAAAGTGGGAACTTTACTAAACCGATGAAATGGAAGGCAAAGAAAAAACCACAAGGGAGGAAAAAAAAAACATATAACAGCAATTATCAAAAAAGCTGGTGCTTCTATTGCAAATAAGTCACCTAAAATAAAAATAAAAATGATAAAATGAAAAAATAATAATAACAATATTAATAAATAAAATAATAATAATAAAAATAAAAAGAAACAAACAAGAGATTTGCATACCATTCCAAATGTCTGAAAAAAAGCTTTGAATATTGCTTTGAGCAACACAATCTTTAAATTCATTATCAATCAATATATCAAGAAGTGTTTGTTTATAATCATCAACAGCGCATAATAAAGCGTCACATTCAATAGTTGTGGCAATAGAAAGGATTTTGTATGCCATTTTCTAGAAAAAATTAGTTTTTTATAAAAATATTATTGCAGTTTGATATTGTATTAAACATTTATAACATACATATTATACGTGTATACATTTACCCAACCATTAAATTCTTTTTTTTTAGAAAAAAGCCAGAAAACTTTTTCTTTGTTTTGCTAATTATAATTACCATAAAATTTGTCACACATTTTTAGGCATTTTTTTAATTTATAAATAGCATAGCAATTATAGTGTAATTTGAAAATTAATTTTTAAAAAGGTGTTTTAAGGCATAGCTTCAAATCCAAGTAAATTTATTGCTATTTAAAAAAAAAGAACAATGAAGATTGCTGCCCCAAACCAAGTCCTCAAAACTTAGCTAAAAAAACTTTTGATAGTGGCTTTTTGGTTTTTATTTGAACGCATGACTTTCACAATCTATTAAAAACATTTAATAATATTCAAGATATATTCATTACTAGATATTTAAGAGATATTTATGACTAAATATTCAAGAGATTACACTATTTTTTAGTAACTTTAATAAAATTCTAAAAACTTGGAAAATGTTTTAATATTTCACAATAAAAATTCTATGTAATTAAATCTTTGAAAAAAGTAGTTTGAATTTTTGACCTAAATTAGATTTACATTTTATTCATTTTAGTATTTCCAACAAGACCTCAAAAAAATGGAAATTAATTTTTCGTTTTCACAATAAAGGTTTTAAAATTCTTTAAAGTTTTAAAATATAGATGGTAGTCTTTTTGGTTAAGATTTAATTAACATTTATTAAAAATAGTTTACACAAAAATCTTTAGATATGGTGCAAATATAATAATATTATCAATATATAATGTTCTTATTTTTATAATTTTTTTTTTACCTTTGGAAATTATGAACTATCCCAGCAAACATTCTGTAGCGAAATTTCAGTAGACCTTTATAAGCATGCCACTATTGATCCAATCAAAATGTTTATATAGATCCACTGCAAATCTACAACAAAAATGTTTGCTGGGATGTGCGTTCAGCTTGAAGAGACTCAATATTTAAAAGACTTTAGAAATACTTCATTAAGAGCTACAATCTTAATGAAAAATATTTATCTTCTGCAATATGTGCTAGATGAAGACAAATTTTTCAGATTAAAAATGGAAAGAAAACAAATAATGATCTACTTGGCGCTTTGATTTATCCAAACTTGTTTTTACAACTACGACAAGATCAAATTTACTTGTTTTAAGACAATCAGAATATACAGAGGATCAATTAAAGGTTGTCTTTTTCCATTAGTAAAACTTCCTATAGCACCAAAAATAAATTTACTGCCTCATGACTCAGTTATAGTGTATTAAAATGCAAAGAAAAATCTTTAGACAGTTAATGGCCAAATTTTGATGTGTATTTTAAAAACAAGAGGGAATGACTTAATTGTTAAATAAAAGTGCTAATTCTTAAAAAATAAGAATGCTATTGTTTCGATCCATGTAAATCAACTAATTTCAATTTCAATTTATTAATTAACAAATGAAAATTAAATTACAAAATGGAAAAAATTACAAAACATGAGTTGCATGCTGATGCATTAAACGCATCATTAACAAACATAACTTTTTATAGAAAACATATATAAAACCGATAATTAAATTAACATCTGCTTTTTTTTATTGTGCTCGCCATTATCTTACTCCTGATACTCCTGATTCCATTCTCTACCTGTGTAAATCACATATTCGCTGCTGTATGAAATACTATTTTCATATTTGGGCTAGTTCTTCTAATGATGCTCTTTCTCTTCTAGAAATACTAAGATGATTGCTATTTAAAGAAGCTATCACCTCTCGTTCCATCAACCACCTCTCGTTCCACCTCACCTCTCATTCCATCAACCACCTCTCGTTCCACCTCACCTCTCGTTCCATCAACCACCTCTTGTTCCACCTCACCTCTCGTTCCATCAACCACCTCTCGTTCCACCTCACCTCTCGTTCCATCAACCACCTCTCGTTCCACCTCACCTCTCATTCCATCAACCAGCCTCTCGTTCTCTCACCTCTCGTTCCATCAACCACCTCTCGTTCCACCTCACCTCTTGTTCCATCAACCAGAACTCATTTTTACTTGACTTGTCATTCAGCAAAATCTCATTCTTTTACTGTATCTGTCCCTGCATGCTCTAAAAACTTTTATTCATGTAATTTTTTTCCCTGCAACTTATTGGATCTGTCTCCCATCTTCATGTTTTCTTGGCTCATGATCCCATCTTCATGTTTTCTTGGCTCATACAACTCGCAACTTTTCAAGTGAACCAGAATAAAACAAAAAGTTATTTAAAGTTGAGTACATACAGTAGATTAAAATTTATACACACAAAAAAAAAATATTGTAAAAACTAAACAAAAATTAATATTATACAAAGAATTATATATTTCATAAATTATGTACATTATGTACACATCACATGCTGACATTTTTTGACAATTTTTGTAAAAAAGACAAACAAAATCTTAAATACTGTAAAAATAAAAAAGGCTGTAACAATAAATAAATAAATGAGATTTACAAAATTATAAACTATAAAATTATAAATATAAATATATAAACAAAATTTGTAAATTTTGTAAATTTCATAAATCTCATGTTTCCCCATTCTAAGATAAATTTTATTTTAATACCTGAAAATATTTGAGAGCATAGTGAAAATATTTGAGAGCATAGTCTTATTGTCAAGGGAATACCAATATTTTTATAGTAGCATTAATTTATTGCAATATAGAAGTAAAAAAAGGTAAATTTTACTTTATAAATAAACCCCACATAAACGCAGGGGTTTAAACCATTAAGAGATTTAAAAACTCAACTCATAACAACCTCATAAATTTTGTATCTCTCAACCTCTTATTCATACTGTTGACTTGTTTACCACTTAGCTTAATTTTTGTCTTGTCTCTAACCCTAGCTTATGTTCAGTTTAAATTTTTGTGATAATTCAAGTAATTTGACTTTTTACCTAAAAGAGAGTAATTGATTAGATAAATTTTTTGTTTTGTTTGTTTTGCTCAAGCTTGATTGGTTGATTTATCTGAAAAAGAGTTGATTACAAGTTGACATACTCTAGATAAAAGGTCTTTGACTCAAAAAATTAACATTTTAATTGACAGCATATAATACACTATTTAATATTTTTTGTTTATTTTGGAAATTTCATTTGATTGTAAATTTGTCTTAAAAATCTCAAAATTAGATTAACCTGAGTTTATTGGTATCAAACTCATACCTGAGTTTATTGGTATCAAACACATACCTGAGTTTATTGGTATCAAACACATACCTAAGTTTATTGGTATCAAACACATACCTGAGTTTATTGGTATCAAACACATACCTGAGTTTATTGGTATCAAACACATACCTAAGTTTATTGGTATCAAACACATACCTGAGTTTATTGGTATCAAACACATACCTGAGTTTATTGGTATCAAACACATACCTGAGTTTATTGGTATCAAACACATACCTGAGTTTATTGGTATCAAACACATACCTGAGTTTATTGGTATCAAACACATACCTAAGTTTATTGAAAATCAGGCTAAAAAGAAAGTCTAGAGAAAATTTTTCAAGTGTTCTTGGTTTTTAGGAATAAGCAAGCAGATTTTATTGAGCTATAGAAAACAGAATTTGGGTTATCTACAAATACAAACAAAACTTGGGTCATATTGAGTACTGAAAGAAATATTTACCAATTTATATTTTCAAGACATCTCTAGAAGTTAAGAGTTCAAACCAAACAAACCAAGTTCAATTAATCAAGTCAATGATTACAACTTTGTTTAAAAAAAAGAAGCTTTTCTGCATATTCAAGTGTAAATGAATAAATATAAAAAAAAAAACATTTGGGTGTTTTTTTTTTGTTTCAAGAAGTATTGGATTAGAAATTTTTTAGATTGTGATCTGGAAAACTACTAACCCAAAGTTAGTAAGAATAACTTTGTCTGATTTGGTTTATTATTGTAAATTTTTAATTTTGTAAAATTAAAGCAATGTAACATTTGTTATTTTTAGGTACTTTAGATAGACAAAGGTTATTTTTAGGTACTTTAGGTAAGTCAAGGTCATTTTAGGTACTTTATGGTGAGTTGGAATAGCTCAGTTGGTTAGGGTGTTTTTAAAGATCAGAATTATTATTAGCTGTAGCAACAGGATTGCAGGTTCAAATTCGGGATCCGCCTACTCAGCATATGAGTAGTACCTTGGTAAAAAGGGAACGCTTCTCAATTAGTTCTTTCATTACAATGTTTCCTTCTTGAGCAATAAATAAATAATTTAGTCGAGTAAATTAAAATTATTGTTTATCATATGAGCAAAGTGGTACTAAAAAAATGCACCTAAAAGAATTGTCAGACAATGCAATCCTGATTTTACAAAAAATATGTGATTTGATACTAAGGAACATGCCTAGACCAAGCCACAGAGTCTTTGAAAATCAGATAAGAGTCTAAACACAGGGGGCACTGAAATCTAAAAAATTTTGCATTTTATTTTACATTAATCTTACAAAGGGCAAATAGGTCTGTATTATACAAGAGGTAAGGTTCAATGCATGAAAAAGAGATGGAATGATTATTTATATTTGTAAAAGATAGTTTGAAAAGAATTTGATGGTGATTATGGTTTTTTGTGTTTAATACTTTTTGGCACCATAGCCATGACTTGATTATTTAGAAAATTTGATTCAAACAAATATTGTACTTTGTTAAAAAGAACTTGACTCAAACAAATATAGTATTTAAAACTCTAAGCAACAAGCTATATAGTTATCTTATACAGTAGTGGTGTAGAGATAAAGCTCTTGCTTTATAAGAATGAAACTCCAAGTTCAATCCTCACCACTTCCTTAGTAGTACCATGCTTAACTTGTTTCTCTGCATAGTTGTCTTGTTTTTGCATGTACTTTTTTTTAGGTTTGTATTTTAGAGTTTAAGGGCAAAGACATTAAAGAGACATTAACAAAAATTTTTTTTCTTAATTTTTAACACGTAACAATGTTCTACCTCTAATATAAATTTCTACCTAAAAGTAAAATACCTCACAAAAATCTTCTATCTCCATGTAATCATCACTTTTATCTTTTATTCGAATTGCCTCTTTTCGAAAAGCAAGTGTCAACTTTATAGCTGCATATATAGGCGCTGGAGAATTAAGAATTAGATCTTGGGCTGGTAAATTATTGTTTAAATTACAACATACCATAAGATTTGCTAAAAACTAAAATTAAATAAATTCATGAAGTTTGCTGAAAAAACAGTGAAAATGTCGAAGATTTCAGACTAATAAAATTAAAGTGGGCAGTTAAGTAAAAAGTTAATTTTTTAGAGAAAAAAAATAAATATTTAAACACTTATTTTTTTTATATTGTATTTATTTTATGTTATGCTTACCATTTTATCTTTGATCAACATTTCAACATCAAATTTATTTAGCATTAGAAATGATACAACTTCAGTATGACGATTTTTAATAGCATAAAGAAGAGGAATTTGTTGATCCTAAAATCAATCATCAATCGTATTACTACTCCTATGCTATAAAATTAATCATATCATATTACCACTCATAAGCTATAAAAATTTGTGGAAAAATGTAATGATATAACATAAAATATATAACAGCAATTTATTATTTCTTAAATTTTTTGACTTTTCTTTACTATATTTAAATAAAAGATTTGCTTACAACTATATAAAGGGTTGTGCAAAATAAAATTTGAACAACCTACAATTTTTTTCTTTGATTGACACTAGCTGTAATACTTATGTTGTTTGGAATATTGTTTATTTTCAAGGCTGAATGGCATTGGAAATCTCCCTAAAATAAAACTTTAAACTTAATTAAAAATTTTATTTTTGGAAGTCATAACTATGCCTTGTTTGGTACATTTTTATGATGGCTGGTTTTGAAGTAATAAAAGAAACTTTCATTCAGTTTATTTAAACACTTTTTGGAAGCAAGCTATTTTAACAATTTTCTCAAAGAAATTCCCTGAGAAGTTGATACTAATATGTATATGTATATATATATATATATATATATATATATATATATATATATATATATATATATATATATATATATATATATATATATATGTAAGTTTATTTTACCACTTTTTGCAGGCAGCTATTTTAATGATTTTCTCAATATCACTGAGAACTTGAATTAATATATAGGGAGAGCGGGGAGCGGGGTTGGTTGTCACACGGATTACTGATTTAAAAAAAGGAAATATTGCTTGATGTCATGACCCAAAATCCTTTGAGTGTATGATTGCACTATCATTGGTGATTACTGAGAATTGTCCCTAAATTTGGTTACATCGTCTGTAGAAGAAAATCCATTTTCAAATTTTGCATAAAATTGCATTAAATGCATAGTTGATAAGCAACTAACAATGCTGGTTTCAAGAATTTTTATTCATCCCAAAATCATAACAAAAATATTCATTTTTTCTTACTGTGTCAAGGTAAGAGCTGGAAAGAAGAAGTGCTGCTGGGCCAATCTTCAAAACATCCACACTCTTTAAAAGCTTCTTTTACTGATTTCCACCATGAAATGGCTGCTGTTAAATATAAAGTTATCAAGAGCATGTAAACCACTAATTCAAATTCATTGTACTAAGATATCATCATTCATTGAAAAATAGGGATTTTATTTAAAAATATAAGCTAAAATATAGTTTTTTGTATGACTAAATATTACAAAATATTTATTTTTTCAATATAATTTGTATGACTACTACAAATTGTGATTCTATGTTTCAAATGATTGATTGATGATTCTATAGCAGATCTAGTTGTATTGTAGTTTTAAAAGAAAACTAATGTTTTTAATAAATTACAATTTTTTTTAAGTAAACTACAATATATATTAAAATTATTCCCAGATTAAGATTGTTCTATGTTTATGGAAGTATGTTTAGTTTTTGCCAGACTTGTTTGCTCATCAATAGAACATACTGGTTCTGGCTCTATTTTGTGACAATTATCCTGTACCATCTCTAATATGTGTTTAATTTTGAAAAGTTTATCATTCTTATTATCTGCTTCATCTTTTTTGGAATCGTCAACTACATAAAGATATCTTCTTAAGGCTTGATACCTATTAAATGGCATTACATCAGCAATTGTATTAATTCTGATTTCATTCATCCAGTACAAAGGATAGTTTGGCAGCATTAAAATACCCATTACCATTTGCATTCCCATAAACTGATCCATTTCATTAACACTTTTGATAATTGACTTACCAGAAAGTTGGGTACAATAAAGATTTGTTTGTTTTACAAGTAATTCTGTTATATTTTTGGCCAGAACTGGGAATAATAATCAAAAGGTTTAAGTTCAACTTGTTGAACTTAAACTTTTGGGGCTCAACTTGTTTATCTGCGCAGCAACCTTGCTTATCAAGGTTTGTGTTTTGGAGTTGAAGAGTTAAGAGAAGGTTGTATACACAATAAGTAGCCTGCTCAACTATAGTGGCCTTAGAAATTTGTTAGATGCTGTTGATTTCATACAGGTAAGTAAAGATAAAAGCACTTAAAAGTACTGTAAGGTAAAGATAAAACTACTTCACTTTAAAATACTTTTTTTTTTTTTTTTTATTATCTTCGCTTCCAACAAGACTGCAAGCAACCACTAATTAGTGTTGGAAGTTACTGGAAGAGGTTGAAGGTTGGCTGCAAGAGCAGGTCCAACTATATTTACAATGCCTTTTTGAACCTTGTCTAAAAGAGAAAGGGCATCATTAGAAGATCCGCCCCAGATATGGCAACAGTATTCCATACAAGGCCGGATTTGAGATTTATAGAGATAGAGAATAGAATCCAGAGTAAGAAAGTGACAAGCTCGATAAAGAGAAGCAACTTTAGCAGATGCTATAAGATGATATAAGGTTTCCAAGAAAGATCAGAAGTAAGAGTTAATCCTAGAAGATGAAGGGTAGGGGGATTAATTGAGTACATTACCATTCATAAATATAGGAAGGTCTAAATTATTGCGATAACGATTGACCGAAAAAAATTGAGTTTTATCTGAATTAAAGTTCACCAGCCACTGTGAGCCCCATGCTGTTGCAGAAGTGAGATCCTTTTCAAGTTCAGATGCTCCCTGCAAGCAATCAGAGGGAGTTGGCTTCCTATCGAGACAAGAATAAATGGTAGTATCATCAGCGAACAATGCCACCTTAGATGTGAGAATATCTGGAAGATCGTTAATGTAAATTAAAAAGAGTATAGGGCCAAGGATTGAACCTTGGGGAACCCCTGAGGTTACAGAATAAGAAGAAGAGTGCTGTCCATCAAGGACAACTTTTATACTACGATTAGAAAGAAAGGATTCAATAATCTTAAAGATGTTTCCAGATACACCATAAGAAGAAAGCTTATGGAGGAGACCGGCATTCCAAACTTTATCAAACGCTTTAGAAATGTCAAAAGCAATGGCCTTAACCTCTCCACCTTTATCTAATGCACGATAAAACCTATCGGTTATTACTGATAACAAATCAGCCGTAGAACAAAAAGATCGAAATCCATATTGATGATCAGAAAGCAGGTTATGAGATTCGAGACGAAAGATTAAGTGTTTCTTAATTAAAAATTCAAAAACCTTGCTTATGATAGGAAGAAGACTAATGGGACGGTAATTAGACGAATCAGATCGCTCTCCAGAATTTTTAAAAATAGGAATAACAGATGCTGCTTTCCAGCAGGCTGGAAAACAAGACTCTGATAAGCACTTGTTAAATAGTTTTGAAAGGATAGACGACAGCTCCAGAGAACACTTCTGCAAGACTATAACAGGTATGTTGTCCGGACCGCAAGCTGTAGAAGAGTCTAAGCAGAAAATCACTTTAGATACAGAAGCTGGAGTGATACGAATGTCGAGTAATGGATAAACCTGTTTGACGGCTATATCAGGTAGAACGCAACTAGAGGCATCAAGAGATAATATTGATGAAAAGTTCTTGGCAAACAATTCAGCTTTGTCTTTAGGTGAGGTGACAAAGTCTGAACCATACAAAAGAGGTGGAATCACAGACTTGCCCTTATTATAGATACTATTAAAGATTCTCCAGAAACCCAGGGGCTATCACGATAAAAAACACGGAAAGAGTCCTAGTCAGCTTTAAGGTAGTTGTAAGATGTACAATGATAGGAGGATTCTGATGGTAAAAAAGAATGAGATAATAGTTTTAGAGAGACCAAACCATGATCAGAAGCACCTAAAGGTGAGTGTGAAGAAACTGAGCACTGACTAGGATCAGAAACAAGACATAAGTCGAGTAGAGAAGGTAAATGATTCGGGTTGTCTGGAAAACGAGTTGGAAAGTTGACTATTTGAGTTAGGGATTGAGAAAGACAAAAGTTGTGGGCCTTAATGCCTGCAAAGTCACTGACACTAGAGCCAAGCCATTCAGTGTGATGAACATTAAAGTCACCGACAACAACAATATTGGCTGATGGATAAAGAATGAGGGCTTGGTCAATATAATCAGAAATAACATCAAGAAGAGTGCAGTCTTGAGATGAGGGAGAGCGATATAGAACAAAGAGAAAGGTGATAGAGTGAAGTGGTGCTAAACGAAAGCACATAAAAGAGTAGTCTGTGGATTCAAACTTAGTTTCCCGACAAATGGGTGAATTCTTACGAATGTAAATGCCCAGGCCAAGCATGTGACTATTGGAGTCTTTACGAATTAAAGGGAGATAACCATCAACACTAAAATCACAAGATGAGACATCTGAACTCAAATTAGTCTCACAAAGAGGAAGCAGGTCTGGTGAACTTTGCAAGAGATAAGACTCAACAGAAGAAAAGTTACTTCGAAGACCACGAATTTTGATGAATGATAGGTTTAGCGAACTTGGTGATGACTGTGGTGTTTTGTGTTTTATAGTTTTTGTTACTTTATTCATTTTTAAATTTGTTAAAGAACTTGACTTGAAACATAGATAGTACTCAGTGCACTGTTTTATAGCTCAAGAAATTGCCTCATTTCCACTAATAAACCCTAAGCCGTAACAAAGGACTTCAATGTGGCCTTGGCAATGCACACCAAAAGTACAAACAGGGACACCATCCATGCGCAACATAGCACTGTTAGTACTCTGATATTTTTCAGCTGTTGATGGAATCAGCCTCTCTGAGAGCTACCACTGAGTTCGAGAAACCTGACTACCAGCCGGCCTCAGAACCATAAAACTGAGTATCAGAGCTGTACCCTCATTTGGAGATAATAGAATGAGTTGCCTAGTCATAAAAACAGAGACACAAGCAAAACCCATGAATCGAGTCAAGAAGATCCAGCGTTCAACATCTTAAACTGGAAACAATGTATTAAAATACATCTGCGCCAGCGTAATAGATGAAGAAGGGGTGCGAGGCTGGTCAACAGATAGAATCTGTTTGCCCCTTAAGTCTTTGCCTAGGAGGCCTTCTACAAGACAGCAGCCGGATGCATTTAATATCTGCCCAAGATAAGTATTTTT